TTTTTGGTTTGTTTGGATTTTTTTAGTTTGGTATGGTTAATTTCGAAAAAAAAAAATATTATGGTTAATTGTTAGTGAGACTTTGAGTTTATATTAAAATAATATTTAAATTAAAATAATTAAAATTGATTTGGTGTAAAAGTAGGAGATTGATTAGTTAAAATTATGTGAGTGGATGAATAGTGAATTAAGTTGATGTGATGTGTAAGAATGCTTGAGTGATATTATTAAATTATATTGATGATAGTGAAAGTGAGTTAAAATTGAATTATATTGGAATTAAAAAGAGGTTTGGTTACAAATGATATGATTCTTTTGAGAAAATCTATATTTGGTACGCAAAAGACCTTGATTCGGCTAAAATCGACCTTGTCTTGAGCTTCCTCGCTGGTAGATTGCGTACTGACATGCGAAACTCTCATATCAAAGGAGTTTTCGGTGAAAAGCCCATGATGCTTCAATGAGTATGTGTAGAAGATAAAGTGCAGAAAAATGTATGTATGGTAGTGAATATAATGCTGAAATCGCACATCTCCCCTATTTATAGGGATGGTTACCTGCTTCTAGAAGTCTGTCCGTATTCGGGGAGCTGACTGTCCAAATTGCCCCAGCTATCCAATAGTACAACCGGTTCTGCATCTATTGTCAGAGACAGTTACAAGGTGTGGACCAATCAAATGATGTTACGCGTCTCTGTCCATGTGCATCATTAATTATAGCAAGATTTCTTCTCATTATTTAATTATTTGTATTAGACCGCCTAATGGTACGACTACTTCGAGGTCCACCAAGGTCGAATATTGATTGTTTCGAGCTTTGAGTGTTGTCCTTTCTGGTCGATCATACGATCAATCTTGCCTACAGGTCGAGCTTCCACCAAGCCATCCGGGGACCTTAGCAAGACCTGTTATTGTTACCTTTGTACCCCTCATGTTGTCTTCCATACCATATCGATGGCTCTTAGTTCCGCGCTAGTAATGTTCTACCACACCCGACCCAGATTCAGTTCTGCTCGACCAGACAGTTCGCTCGGCCTAGTCGACCTGTTTACTACCTTACATATGGTATCTCATATCAATATCTAAGCATCTCCTTAGTCATTCAAAATTGACTTTCATTTCTCCTCCCTCTTCCTGTTTGTCCTTACCAATTCATTCTCCCAATTTTTCTCTTTCTTTCTTCCTATCATTTTCCCCCTCTTATTTTCCTCTCTCTTCTTGTTCTCTAATTTCTCGATCTTCTTCTTCTCAATATTGCAGACACTAGGTCCACCAATTCATTCTCCCAATTTCTCGTCTTTCAATTTTTCATCCTCTCGATTTCATACCTCCACACCCAACAATAAATAGGAAGACAACAACCCCCACCTTGAATGACGAATGCGTACTTTAAAGTGGACTATATGTTTACTTTAGTTGGTTAAAAATGACCCATTTTGGATAAATGGGCCTAAAACCATCGGATCAATTTGAAGCCCAATTGGCCTGTGTAGTTGTATAACCTCTATTGTCATATTTTAGGAAAATGTTAAGGTCTTGTTACGAGATGATTGAGTCAGTGTTTTTCATCATTGGATACACATGCAGATTATGTTGTGTACATAATCTATGATAACAAATACTGACGGAACCATCTCGTCAACGGGATTATAGTCATTCCCATATTTTAATGCTAACTTTTTATTAATTGCAATATTGGTATCTGTAAAGATATCTATGTGTGATTATTTTTAATGCTTGTTTTTTATTAAGTTACTCTTTATTATTATAACTAATACAGATCCCGTGCGCAAAAATGAGTAATAACCCCCAGTAGAGTGCACAAAATTAAGGTCATTTATCAAGTCTTATAATTATATAAATAAATAAAGAAAAATGTACGGGATATATATATAGTACGTGACATGTAATAGGCCAAAATGTGAACACAGGTGATGCACGAGGTGCACAATTTTAAAGTCATTTATTAATACAGAGTCCGTGCAATGCACGGTGTGCACAATTTTCTAGTATGTGTAATACAAATACATACCGTATGCACGGGACAGAAGCACTAAATGAGTTATTTCCACAGAGCTTGCCCGTTAAATAGCTTCTGAACACGGGTGCACAATTTGTAGTACGTACTATAAAATCAGAACAAATTTTCATACAATTAGATAATAAATTAGATAATAAATAAAGCATTTTTATTTTAGTAAAGATTTTACGTACTTTTTTTACTTATCGGAGGTTATGAGATTTTTTTTGTTAAACCGATTTTATGTGATATAATACAAATACAATTACAGGATTGAACAAAATCAGAACAGATTTCTATACAATTAGATAATAAGAAGGAATTAAATAAGGAAAAGAAGAAATTAGATAAAGAATTTTGAATCTACCTTTCTTTTAGTATAGATAGACTTTACGTACAAATTTCGACTTCACCGATTTTATGAGATTTGTTTTGACAAAATCAAAGACGAACACTGAAGACTGTTTCTATTAACATTTACAATGTGTATTTAATATTTTTTTTGGCAAAATATTTTTTTTAAGTGTGATATATAAATATTAAAAATACTTAAAATATTTTATAACATCTATAAAAGCATCTAAAATATTCTATATTATTCACAAATAATGTTTGAAGCTACCTAAATTTTTCTAAACTACCCGTAAGGAAAATATTTCTAAAAATTCTTCATTTAACCTCCATATATGTATATATATATAGGGAGAGCAAATGTGTAAAAAAATTATACAAATAATATTTAAAAGTATCTAAAATATAAGCTGAGTTATGAAATTTTCTTAAACTCGTCCATATCTATGCGATAAGTTTTTTAAGTTGAGTATATAGATTTAAAATTGTAAAAAAAAAAAAAAACTTTCATAAATCATTTGATTTGGTATTTTTGGAGAGCTTCACTAATTTAAAAGTGTAAAATAAATAAATAAAAAAAGTACAACTAAAAAAGGTACAACTAATTGTATGGAGAATTAAACTAAATCCGATTTTGTAAGATGCATTAAATATTGATTAGATTTTATATGTAAAATAAAATAAAAAATAACTGGAATAGTTTTACGTCTTGCAATATTTTATATTTAAAAAAAAAAATAAAAAATATTCTTTTACGTATTGCATACCGACATTTTAGGAACTACATGGATATTCCTAAATTAATATTGCATACCTAATATTTTAGGAAATAATTAAATTCTAGGGTAAATTGCGCCAAACCCCCCTGTATTATACGAAATTTGCGCGTTATCCCCCTGTATTTTAAAAATTGCGTCATACCCCCTTGTATTATACTAACCGATGCACACGCTCCCTTGTTTCAATTTTTCCGTTAACGGCGTTAATTTTTTCGTAAAATTCCCGTTATACCCTTCGAATATAATATATATAAATACATGATATATTGAATTTCTCGCGATATATTCAATTTATCACGATATATTGACTAAAAAAATTATGCTGAGCGAGGGTTTCGAACCATGTACCTCATCAAAGAAAAGGAGCATTGCCACCACCCCACCAAGCTAAGACAACTTTAGATTTAAGAATGTTTGATATATATAGGCATAACATGTGTATAAATCAAATTAAAAATTTTCAAGATAATGTAACTTATATTAAATAAATCAATAAACTCTAAACTTATAGTAAATTAAAATATAACAAACTAGATTATTTAAATTAAAAAAAATAAGATTACTAAAATAACTTATATATATTATACTTATAGTTAAAATAATAATATGTATTTAATTTTAGTTCTTCTACTTTTATTTTTTATTATTTTACATTTTACTATTTAATATTATTTTAATTTAGTTAACAAATTTTATTTATGTGTTAACTTAATAAATGATATAAAATTCAAATAAATTTATTTGAATACTGTATGTCATTAATACTACTTACTAAAAAGTGATAATGCAAAAAAGTGATAATTTATTTCTAATTAAAACTACTTACTAAAAAGTGATAATTTATTTCATTTTTTTCATTAATACTGTATGTCAAAGTAAATAATGCAAAAGATTATTTGATAAATAATGTTTTTAATTATATTATATTAATTTAATATTATTACTTATTTTTATTAATTATTTTATAATATTAAATTTTATTAATTATTTTATTTGTTTTAATTTACCATTTTTTAGATATTATATTTTTTTTATCTTATATCTAATTTTTTATGATATTTTAACTTGTCTACTCTAATTTATTTATTTATTAATTTATTATTGTTATTATTATACATTTTCGAATTTATATAATTAAATTTATTTTTATAAACAAAAATTATAAATTTATTTAATTTTAATTCATGCTACTGTAAGTAATTTCATTTTACTTTAATTTATTTTTTATTATTTTTATTTTAATTTGATTTATTTAAATTTATTATTATTATTTCATATATATTAAATTTACCCATTATATTTTTTTTTAATTTGTTTGGAGTATTATAAAAGCATCTGTGTTCAATTCCTACACAAGGATGTATCTAGCCTAGTGGTTTAATTTGTGAGCTTTTGTCATAAGGGTCATGGGTTCGAATCCTTTCCTTGTTTAAATTTTAATTTTCTCAATAAAATTCAAGTATTAAGGGGCAAAATAGTCATTTCCCTGACTTTATGGCGAAAAAATGGAGAAAAAGCCGCACCACACGCGCGTGAAATGCACAGCCGTCAAGTTAGACGGTTTAGGGGAGAACGCGCAATCAAAAGTATAATACAAGGGGATATGACGAAAATTTTAAAATACAGGGGGATAACGTGCAGATTTCGTATAATACAGGAGGGTTTGGCGCAATTTACCCTTAAATTCTAATTTGATTTGCATACCAAAAATATTAAATGCATTAATTAAATGCTTGCTAAAAATAGCAAATGATTAATTATGGTTGACTATTCTACATACTACATTTAGTAAAATAGTATAGCTTTTAATATAAGTATAGATTATAATATAATTTTGTATCTATATTTTTTTTAGAAGGTATACGCCGTGATTTTACTTTTCATCAACTTTTAGAGATTTTATTAAATTTATTATAAGTATAGATTATAATATAATTTTGTATCTATATTTTTTTTAGAAGGTATACGCCGTGATTTTACTTTTCATCAACTTTTAGAGATTTTATTAAATTTATTTATCCAAATAATCTCTACCGATATTTGTCGATATCAATTCTATTTATTTATTTATTTTTTTTTTTTCGCGAGTTTTTATTTTTCCCTTAAACCCCTCTGAAGAATTCTCCGCCACATTACCAATGCCGGCCAGAGTCTCCTCGCGCTTTCTCCTCCGCCACCTCCTCCGCCACCACTTCCCCTCTGCGAGCGCGGTAATCACCGCACCAAAATCCCACCCCTTCGAACAAACCGTCCTCGGTTCTCACCGATCCCCATCCTTCACGCACCCCCAGCACCCATTCCTGCGCTTTCTCTCCACCCGATCACCCCGCCCGGCCCGATCGAAGCCCGACGTCGGCGCACGCGCCCGCCAGATGCAGACCCGCCGCCTTTGGACCTACGCCATAACGTTCAGCTGCATCGCAGGGTTCATAGTCATCGTTCTAAACCAGTTCCAGGACCAGCTTGTCTTCTACATCACCCCCACCGACGCCCTGCAGAAGTACAATTCCGACCCGACCAAGTCCAAATTCCGTTTAGGCGGCCTTGTCCTCGAGGATAGCTATATCCAGGTTCCCGATTCACCGGAATCCCAATTTGTAATTACCGATCTGATTACGGACATTTTGGTCAAATACGACGGCAGCTTGCCGGATTTGTTTCGTGAGGGGCACTCGGCAGTTGTGGAGGGGTTTATCCGGCCCGTGGATGATGGAGTTCGGAAAAAAGAGGAAATTGCCCTTAGCAGCAGCAGAAAATTTGGGGTAACCGAAAAGGCCAGGAGCTTGGATTGCTATTTTGCAGCGACTGAGGTTTTGGCGAAGCACGACGAGAAGTATATGCCTGCTGAGGTGGCTGCTGCAATCGAGAAGAACAAGAAGTTGATCGAGGAGAAGGAGAAGGAGAAGGAGAAGGAGGATTTGGCTAATGCTGGTTCAAGCAGTAGTCCCCCGGTTGCCAAGGCTTGATTTTGCACTTCCGATTTGGTAACATTTTTCTTGTGGCATTGAAAACATTTTGATGGAATTTTGTTAGTTAAGTAATATGTTTTTTACTTTAATACCCATGAAAATTTGATTTATAGTTTATGCGCTATTGGATAGAGGTCTGTGAGGAGAATGATTGAGCCAATTTTGTATTTGGTGTAGTAGTAATTGGATTACGGATGGTGTTTCTAATTGAAAAACAATTTGTATTAGTTCCCTAATAATCGATTGAGATTTTTCGTGGATGGTTTACGTAATGTGTTTGTTAATTATACTATAGAGTAATGAGTTTTTGTTGTGTGGTTCTCTGTTTCATTTATGATGAATCATGCATATATTTTCTAGTGATCTTAAATTGTATTGTGCAGATTCTTCTCATTTGTGATGTGCTTCTCGTTATTCATGAGTTCTATATGTACACCAGATCTTTTAAGTATGTTCATTGTAACCTTGTGAAAGAAATTATAGCATTCTTATGATGAATATCAAAGGCACATCACATAGCAGACTTGTTTTATTATGATATGGTACCAACATTCCAACTTGACAATCTATTTTATTATCATTGAAGTATGACATTCTCGTGCTGAAGCACCGTTTATACTCCTGTGTCTTCACTCCTTGACATAAATAACTCGATCTAGAACTATAGGAGCAATACTAGGATCACCCACAATGGCATCCTGAACATCAGCCTCACCATCCCCCAAATAAGATCTCCATATCACTTTCCAGTGTTTGCATGTACCCACACACACGAGTTCAGTGCCAGGGATACTCACGAAGAGGGGTGCACACAAAGTACTATGTTTTATCTCTACTCTTATCCTTTCTATTTCTCCCACTATTTTTATGTACTCACACACACGAGCACACACAGTGCACACTCTTTTACTCTCTGTTCCAGGCCCTCACACACACAAAGCACACACTACACTTTGTTTTTCCTTTGCACGCACAAAGCACACAATAGCCTCAGGTTTGCTGCCCTATATCTCTTCTTTTTCACACACGCAGGGTTCCTTATAAAATAAAAAGACGGCGAGAGAAAAATAGGGAAAAACACTAATCTCACAAAAGGTTTAGGACTGAAGAGTGACAGGGGAAACGGCAGAAGATTATTCAGCTGCAAAAAAGAATTGTACAAAGCTTTATTTGCTATTAAGGAGATGGGCCGGTGGACCGGCCCGTGAAGGAGTTTTTCTTGGGCCATCCACAAAGGTCAGTTGGGCCAAAAAATATAACAATGTACCGATCGCTGTTGTAAGATCATGGACACAGAGAATATCAAATCTTGGTCAGACAAATCCTGTCCGGGGAGAGGGTTTTTTTGTCTGGGGAGAGGTTGTGCATCTGTTCAAGTCGATGCTTGTGAGTGGAGAACGGCAGAATTTTCGTAACGGCCGAGGGTTTGAGGGCGCATCGCATATGGAAATTATATGGTGGGTCTATGATGCACAATAAGGATGTGTTTTTTTGTTTAGCGCATCGCATATGGAAATTATGAGGAGCGCATCGCGAAAATAAGGATGTGTTTTTTATGTAGTGCTATGGTCCATAAGAGTCACGTTAGGTTGATTGATTGCATGCCGAGCTTCTCCAAAGTGTGCTAGATTTGGTGGTGATGAGTCTTCAACGAAAATATTCCATAATCATCTTGATTTTAAAGATGTTATTGTTTGTAGTTTCACTATATCAGTCTATGCTTAAAGCATGCAGCCTGACAAAGCGTGTTTAATACGTTACAATCCATACATATTTTTATCCCCAATTCCACAGTTAGCTAGTGTGGTTGAGTACGACGATTGGAGCTGGTTTCATGCAATGGAAAGGACTTATGGTATTAGGCGAAAGCTCACGCGTACTGTGCTCGCATGGTAGATAATAGATATGCTGCGTCAAACGGAATATTAAGGAGGCTCTTTGAATTTGCCAATAATATGCCGGTTGAGCCTGATATGAGAGCTCTTCTTTCCGGTGGATGTAAAATTGTTGAGGAACGTTATGGTTTATAGTGCGATTTGAGCTGAATCTATCGTCGACTTTCATGTTGATTCCATGTTTTCGAGCTATACATTTTTCTTCTTTCCATTAGAACTCAACTTTCTTGTTTTTTTTTATTTTGATAATGATTTGGAAATATTGTTAACTGTTTTGCTGAAAGTTTCTTTTACCCGCATGGATATGAAAAGGAAATTTGATTAGAGACGAGGACAGGCACATCTTTCATTTCTATTCAGTGTTCCTTAAAAGTTGCAGTAGATTTGAAGTTTTATTGCAATGTTGTCTCGTATTCGTATACAAATGCGAGAGAAATTGTTTTTGGCTTATATTTATTGTGGATGGTGTGATATGTTGCTTTCTTTCACAACTTTCATAACTGACCATATCTAAACTAGTCTATTTAATCGTAGAATAAATGTGTAATTTATTGCCCAACTTTAACAAAACATGTAACCAATTAACCCTCATAGCTTCTTGTAACTCCCTCATTTAACTTGTATATTAAATTGAAGGTTTAGATTGACTGTGTTTCTTCTTTTTATGACCACTTAAGAACATATATTGGAAATTGAGTATCCCATCCTGTAGATCGATAAAATGAAAGGCGCAGTCCTGGAAGTGCTTCTTGTTTCTGCCGAAGGCATATACCACAACCGAATTCTCGGTAAACATCTCTTCTTTTGTGATTAGTCGCCTTTTTTGATTCATATAATTCATTCTGTTCTAGCAACAGCTAACATAGTTGAATCTGCAATTTTGGCAGGGCACCCGGGCTATCACGTCATAGTTGAATGTGGCACTCAAATATGCAGAAGCAAGACTTCATCAGGTTCATGTCAAGAAAAAAAATTAAACTTCCAGTTTGTCAATTTTATTAGTAAATCTTAGAGACAATTGCAAAATTACCTCTACGAGTTAGCATATTATGTTCTTTTTGACGATTCAATTTTTTCGGAAAAAAAAAAGGAAGTGTAAGTTGGAATGATAAATGGGATCTTTTGTATAGCAATCGTCCAATCACACTAATCTTAGAGGGTTGTGCCTTTTGTTATTATGATCGTGTTTGACATTTTCTTTGATGCCATTCTGTCTTCGGACTCCTGCAGAAAATTTGGATAAAATCTACTGGAACGAAAAGTTCGTATTCCAATATCCAACGTCCGAGTTAGACACTTTGAATCACCTCAAACTTAGAATTGTCAACGAGAAATATTTGGGCGATGGCGAATGTGTTGGGGAAACACTGTAAGAGTTGAAACGAAGAATCTCACTTTTCGCATGCTTATCTTGCGTTCGTTTATCGTTTTCCTAAACTCTTCACGAGCTGACAATCGTATTTTGATTTTCCAGAATTTTCATCAAAGGAATAATCGCCGAGGGAAATCGCTCTGGATTGATACAGTTGAATCCTTCCCTATTCAACGTCGTGCTTGAAGACGACACTTACAAAGGGCAAATAACGATTGGATTGAAATTCATTCCAAATGTAAGTTTTCTTTTTCAATTTTCCCTTTGGCTAAAACTAACATCTATCTGAAACATGCTTTGGTAATCTTCTTAAGTCCCTTTGTTCATTCCCATAGGCTGTTTTACACGCGAAAAGAAAAGAAGCCGAGCCGGAGGGAAATGATCTAAGCAAGTCCGTGTGCACGATGCTCACGAATCTCTTGAAAATGCATTGGTTGAAGTTTTTTTCTAACATAAAGAACAGGAAGTTTGTTAATACGCATAAAGAGAACTGAGAAGGTAAACGAGGTCGGGTGATTCATGAAATCGGGTTGTGCGAATGAAACTTCTGTGGAGGGAGGGAGTGGTCGAGATTTTCGAGCTCTTTGCATGCTGTTTTCTTGTGCTAGCTTTCGCAAAACAATTGGAAATTTGTATGAGATTTTCAAGTTTCATGGTATTTTATTTAGTATTAGTAGTACCTCATTAGAGGTGCATATGACACTTGGGAGATGCTAAATGTTTTTGAAGCCAGTGAAAGTTTATGTCTGGATCAACAAAAAATGCACATTTATACAATGAAATATGATGTTCTTGATGTTGTTTTCTTTAGAATATATTTGAATATGAAATAAATGTTTTTGTTAATTAAGAGGTATACTAGTATTAATACCCATTTACAACATGGGTATTGAGTTAATGAATATATGTGCAAAGTTATTTATGTCTAACATCAATCTTAACTCCAAAGCAAAAATAATATAAAAATAACATTACGAAGTATAAATTTTTGTCATGTCAGCATCCGAAGCGTGAAAATCTGTCACCTAGACTCTAACACGTTTTGAATTAATATATAGTGAAAATTTGTCAACTAGACTCTAATACGTTTTGAATTAATATTGAATGAAGAGGAATTTGAGGGTCATTTCCAATGGTACCACTTAAATTATTCAATTAATTTTGGCAACAACTTTTACACAGATTCCTATTATGGTGAACCAACTAATCCATTCATATCTACAAAATATTTTGACCATTCTATCCAACAGCGCTTGGATTCTACCCAGCTCGATTTTGGATTTGTCGGTTCCCCTGTGGATCCGGAAATTAGAAGGTTCCTTTATCAAAAAAAAATAAAATTTTTGACCATTCTTTAAATTAATGAGACACCATCGTATTGTTTAACACAGAGTCACGCAGCTGCACGTTCTATCGCCATAGTCTATGTACGTGAACCAAAAAGAAGAGGTCAATTATGCTCTGCACGTCCATGTTAACCGGATCGAAAAATCCACCTTTGTTACTTAACTTATTATATTAAATAAGGTGTCTATTATTTAATATTTAGGGGTAAAAACAAAAGGGTTGTGTTCATTGTATGATACACGTTACAGAACCATTCCGTTAGGATTTGTAACCGTTAGATCATTATGTAACCGTCGTGGATAGTTGATCTAACAGTCCCGTTACAAATCCCGACGGAATGGTTTCGTAACGGGATAGTATAATATTTATAACTCAAACAATGAAACATATACAAGTACACGTGAATCATCATTACTAATACACATTGAGACTTTCCAATTTTTTTAAAGAAGAAAGAATAATAAATAAATTACTGCCTCCAAATTCGCACCAAGACTTTGCTCTTCAATAGTTTATTTATGAAGGCACTATTTATAGAAATTAAAACTTCCAACTAACTATAGAAACTTATTGTTTCGCAATCACCTACAAAATCTTTGAATTAATTTCACCAAATAATCGTAGACTAGTAATAGTATTAAATATTCTCTCATACAGCTACTCTCCTACCATTTTTTCCTTGTCAAAATAGCAAAATCTACTCAAATGCACACCCACCAAAATAAAATAATTACTCAATATATAACTTTTTGGGACCAAACCATTAGAGTTATGTTTGGTAAAACTAGTTAATAACTCATAAGTTATAAAATTATAAATTATCAGTAATTTTTTTAGCTTATAGCTGAAAAACTAGCTTATATGAAAAACGTGTTTCGTAAAATTAGCTGATAAGCTAGTTGGAATAAAAAATTCAACTAGCTTATTTGATAAACTTTTTTAAACTTATCAAATAAGCTCGAAAAAAGCTCGTCCTACCCAACAAGACTTATTCGAATACATGGATCTTATAGCTAATCAAATAAGTTATAAGCTAGCTTATTTGTCTATCAAAGATAGTCTAAGTGAACATTAATAAATAAATTACTATTTATTTATGCAGTAGTTAGATAATTTGATTATATTATAGCATTGTACAAATAATGAAATATAATATAACTACCATATCATTATTGTTTGATTTCCAACTAAATTTAGAGTACTTTTACAGCCAAAGCCCACTTCATATATTTCAAACACACAGCTCTCTTGCTGTGTCTTTCTCAACATAAAATCTGCAGGAAATATACCAAAAAGGGTTCAATAATTTGGTGGGCTTTTTGTCAAGATTTTTTTTGGTAGCCAGCCACGGTATTCGGAGCTATTGACGACTTTTTTTTTTTTTTTTT